TCAAGGGGCAGGGGGGACAAATGATGGAATGATCAATAGCCCTTTCAGAAGCTGATCTTCGTTGCTCATATAATACACGGTAGACCAGGCTTCCCTGGTCTTCGGTCCCCTAACATTTGCCATCCCTGACCATTTAGGATGCGACAGCTAGGGCTGATAGGTGGTGGAATACAACAACATCTGGGGACCCACAGTTGAGAAAGGCAGTGTGCACAATTGGCAGCAGCTTTACCCACTGGATCAAGCCCTTTATTCCAATAACATTATATTGGAATTTTGTTAAGTGGACACAGACATTTAGGGTTGGTAAAAACAAGTACAAACAGGTGGATTTATATTACATAAAGTTACATTTTATTATAGTACATAATGAACAGATTACCCCTGAAAAAGATGAAACCTACAGTTGTGGTTACTACCTTCAGCAAAGTCACCACAAACCATACAATACAGAGAACTGTCAAAAGTTCACATCTCAAATAATTCTGCATGTGTGTAATAATATCATCATAGGAAAGGTGTTTCCAGCTACCCCACCTTTTGTACTTGGAAACCCTGTAAGAAGCTTCTGCAGGAAGAGGGGACTGTGAGCAACATCATGGTAGGCTTGTTTCTAAGACTAAAGTGAAACAGTGACACTCCCTTGTTATTTTTGCTATTGGGTGCTGCATGTTGTTTAAGTAATCTTGTTCTATTTATAGTATTGAAATGTGGCTTTTTGTACGTAATTATATTTTTGCGTTGCTATGCTATTATGAAATTATTATGGTGTTATTGTTTTGCTATGTTACTATGAAATTGTTTGTGTAGTGTTTGTTTGAAATGTATCTTTCCTTCTTTGCTGTAAGTCACCTTGAGCATGATTTTTGGGGAGAAAAGCAGCATAGAAATAAAATGAATGAATGATTTTAAAAAAAATAGAGTCTAAATGAGCAATTTTCATGTATACAGCATGTAAGTCAAAAGAGGAAATTATTTTTTCACAAGTTCAGTATAAAATAGGTGGAAGAAACACTGAATCAGGTTACTGCACGGAGGCTTAACAAGTCATTCAGCCTTTTAGCCTGAAGATGGCATTGTATTCCCTAAAGCTTATTCGCCTCACTTTTCAGAAATGCAAAAAAAAGAAAAAAAGCAATAGCATGGACAACTTGTGTGGAAGGACATTTAAACTAAATATAAAAAGCTTAAATTAAAAGAGTACCTTCACTTACATTCTGGATATTGATCTGCAGAGCCATTTTGTAGTGATTAAAATCTTTGGCAAGCTCATAACCCTGATGGTAGAAGGTGAACATTCCTTGAAAAAATGACAGGACCTGAAATACAAATAATAATTATTATTATTCCCAAATTCCTGGGAGTAAGCCCCAATGAATACAAGTTGAATAACTAGTTATTAGTAGAATTCCACAGGATTGCGCTGAGATATTTAAAATTAATGTCAAAATCCATACAGATATTCAATACTCATAATGCGGAACACAACTAAATGTCCTGAGCAAGAAAAAACTCAAAAAGGAAACAGTACACAATAGTACAATTGTGAAAGACAGCCTCCTTAGCTTAAGCTGGTTTTTCCAAGCCTTAAGGTAAAGGTAAAGGGACCCCTGACCATTAGGTCCAGTCATGGCCGACTCTGGGGTTGCGGCACTCATCTCGCTTTATTGGCCAAGGGAGCCGGCGTACAGCTTCCGGGTCATGCGACCAGCATGACTGAGCCGCTTCTGGCTAACCAGAGCAGCGCATGGAAACGCCGTTTACCTTCCCGCCAGAGCGGTACCTATTTATCTACTTGCCCTTTGACATGTTTTCGAACTGCTAGGTTGGCAAGAGCTGGGACCGAGCAATGGAAGCTCACCCTGTCTGGGGATTCGAACCGCCGACCTTCTGATCGGCAAGCCCTAGGCTCTGTGGTTTAACCCACAGTGCCACCCGCGTCCCTTTTCCAAGCCTTAGCACCCATCAAATACATACTAACTCACTTCTTTGTGTTAATAGCTATACAACCAGCACTGCCCACAAAGCTGTGATATTCACACAGAGATCGCAACAGTGAGAGATATTGCCAGATAGAAGCACCTTAAACATGACTATGTGAATCTGTGAAGGAGAACTTATTTGGCCTCATACTGGATGTATCAGTTCAGCATGCAAATGAAAAAGAAAATGAGCTACACTGATGTAGAGAAAGCATGTGCAGGGCCTTGCACTGTTTTACCAGTGTTTTGCTCTCCGCTACACCCATTACACTTACTCTTACATCCTAAAATTTATTTCACAAAGAATATTTTACACCGCAGTACTTACAGGTTCTACAAATTCAAATTTCTTTCGTTCTTGTATCTCTTGTAGCTTACACACATATTCAAGTGATAGTTCATAAAAATGTTTTCGGTTTACCTCCACTTGGTAGTCTGCCTGGATAAAAAACAATGAAACAGTGCTTTAAAGAGTCACACATCCTATTCAGACTGATGCCAACTATATTCTGCACGGACCACCACAATCCAACACAGTTGAGTGCATCTAAGTAAACTGCGCAGTGGACTTAAGCACACCTGATTATGACCCAAGTATTTCAAATGACAAAAAGGACAAACTTCTACGCATGGGCCAGGATTCATTCCACAGTGTTCATTAGATTAGCCTGTGTATTGCAGTTTGAAGTGCTCATGCAGTTTAAAAACAAACAAACCCACATATGTAAACTAATAAGTGGATAGGTAAGCAGATAGGAAAATTATATTTACTTTCTCACTTAAGAGGGGAAACATCTTTGACAAGTTAATACAGGCATTACCTCTAATAACTGAGTTTCTTTCTTCTTAGCTGACATATTTAAATGCTTGTCTAGTAAACTGTAGTTCTTTTCTGTTTCTTTATCAAATTTCTTCTTTTCTTCCTGCAAGTACAATTTTAAAAGTACAAGAAAATTTAAACAGTGAAATATGACAACACATATTTAACAAATGTACAAATATGCTTATAGATGGAATACGTGGTTACATGCAACTCGCATTTGAACAAGGAACGTATTCATTTTCGCTTTCTGCATGGGAAACCTCTGCAATTTTGGCCAATGCTGCTCTGCTTAAAATATGAAAAGCAAAAACAAAGCATGCGCACACATACAAACCCTTCAACATTTCTGAACTGAATCTTGTAATCTTAAGTGCTACACTATCATTTATTAATTTATAAAGCAAAAATGTGTAATTCTGTTCCAAGATCCTAAACATACAAGATAAGAGTATTTTTATTTATTTAATCCATTTTTTAAATGCCCATCATTACTTAAGATCCTAGGGTGGTTTATGATATATCCATTAAAATTAGTAAGTAAAACCACTATAGCAATGCATCAAGCAGACTTCATCAATTACTGCTGAATTGTAGCCCTTTGGAGGTGCATGTGGTAAATTATTGTTGGGTTTCTCCAGCATACTTTAAACAAATCAATTTTCCCAGTTGTTGAATTTAACAACTGGGAAAATTGATTTGTTTAAACAATGCTGGAGAAACCCAACAATGATGTACCAAATGCACCTCCAAAGGGTTACAATTCAATAAATGCGATTCCACCACAGAGAAGACCCTATTCCATGTTACTGTCCAGTAGATGACACCTATCAGCAGAAAAAAATTAAACATGTTTCATTTCCTTTAATCAAGTGACAGTCTAACCTGCGGATCTCAGGGCCAAGACAAGCTGATACATAGATGAACTCCACAATGCAGCCTACGTTCATTATGTTCTAGTCACTTGATTAAAGAAAACGAAATGTGTTTAAATAAATTTGATTATTTAATAAAAACCGCATGAATGTGCAAGTGAACAAAGCAATAGTTCTAAAGAAAAAATCCCCTTCCAATTTTAGATTATGAACCCATTTCACGGCCTTTTAGAAGATGCATTCCCTCCTGTATGGGAGAAAATGAGAAATGCATCTTAAGAAGGCATCTTCTCCCTCATATATGTGTAGAACTTACATGAAAAATATCTAAAGCTTTATTTAACTAGGGGCATGTGTTTTAATCAAGCATACTCTTGCAGTGCAATCCTATGTTTAGTCAAACATAAAAAACCCACTTTTTTCAATGGGGTTACCCTGAGTAAGTGTGTTTAAGACTGTATTCTTGATTGATTGATTGATTGATTGATTGATTAGCTAAATGTTAGTTATAAGTGCTTTCTTCTGGGTTACATAAACCTAGAATAGTAGAATGGGATCATTCATCTTAAATGCATTCAATATCTGTCTGAAACTAGAAGAACTGAAAGTTAGTGTTGGTAGATTGGAAATGGCCCCTATTTCTATATGCTTTTGGTATATTTGCCCCTATTTCTTTATGATCTAGGGCTGCAAAAGAGTTGTTTTTTTAAACTCCCCAATCTGTTCAAAGTTAAATGTTCTCTAATTTTACCTACCAAACTAACACACACAATAAAAATTTAACTACAAAAGCAAAAAGCTACCAACAAACCTTTACAGCTCCAAGTTGCTCTTTTCTGAATCTTTCCAGAGGTTTGATCAGAGTTTCAGTAACACTAAGGGCCTTCCAAGGAAGAAGAAAACCAAATATTAGTCTTACAAGGTTACACTGTGTACTTACAAATATTTCAATTTGCAGAATTATTGTAGATCTGTTTCCATAATTTCAAAGCCGAAGTCAACCTTTCTCTCAGGCCAACAGCTACTTTGCCATGAGAAAAAGCTCCAATTGTACGTGTACATTGTTTTATCAGTCATAAATATTTGTTAAGGGGGTTGGAAGAGTCTTGCCAGAGTACACACCTTCTGTGCCAAGGTCATTATGGGTACTGGTGCAGGAAGGTGGTGAATGCATGCACTAGAACTATATACACAACCAGACTCATTTTCAGAATTCTGTTTTCCTTGTTTATAGAATCATAGAATTGTAGAACTGTAGAGTTGGACAGGACCCTGAATATCATCTTGCCCAACCCTCTGCAATGCAGGAATCCTGCCCACAGCCATTCCTAGGTGGGCTTGAACAACCAACCTTCTGGTTAACAGCCACACACACTGACCCATTGCACCACAATGCACACAAACTATAGTATATGTACTACACCAGCAAAGTTTGAAAGTTAGCATGCATTTTAGTAGGGGATTTCTGCTTTCCTCCTTCAGCAGAAACTCCAGATACACGTGTACAAAGCAAGTTGCACGCTAGACAGCTACAGAAAGGCTTTAATGGAAACAAAAAGCCAAAAATGTCCTTTTAAAAAAAAAACTTCAACTCTATCAATTGAAAGAATATTAATTCCTGTATTATGATACAGACAAAAAATTATACTAAATTATGACTGACATTTTTAAGTCTATAGGATGCAGGAAGTTGATAATACTCTATGCATACCCTTCAAGAGTGAATGAAAAGCCTAAACTTGCTTTCATATGCTACAGTGGAAGACGGATGTGTTCTTTGATGCCTAAATTATTAATACCTTCAGTATTTGTCCATATAAGAAAAAAGTACTATTCTGGGCTCATTTCAGACTAGATATTAAGAACATGGTGTCTGTTCTAAAGGCATTCTTCGAAGAGTCTCCCACGACCCACATACTAACTACTCTGAGTTCCAGTCTGAAAGAACATTTTGCACTCATTCCACTGGCAAAGGAACAGCTGACCTTTAGTTGGTTAGCACATTTTTTTCTTTTTTAAAAAAGGGAACACATTTTTTAAAAATTTATGATTTATTGTAGCAGAGAAAACAAGCTTCTCAGATGCTGAAAAAATTATTTATTTACTTACTGCTTGAAATACACAGAACTATAGTAACTTATACATAGATAAAGCAATCTTTTAGAGCAGGACTTAAAAGTCTTATTCGTTTTCATTTTCCCTTTTGTTGTTGTCAAAACATACCTAAAGCATTTTCAAGCGCCCCATCAAAATATAATCTGTTTTTTACTTCCAAGTCTTCAGTTTAGACAGGTCCCATCCCTCTTTCCAATATAGCCTCACAAGACACGTCACATGTAAGTTCCTTAGTTGAAAGGACTGTGCAAAATTTGAGTTGGTCTGATCAAACTCAGGAAAGCTTCTCAACCTGACTGAGCTAAAGTTTAGGTATATGCCTTTATATTACAGTGGTACCTCAGGTTAAGTACTTAATTCGTTCCGGAGGTCCGTTCTTAACCTGAAACTGTTCTTAACCTGAAGCACCACTTTAGCTAATGGGGCCTCCTGCTGCCGCCGCGTCGCCAGAGCACGATTTCTGTTCTCATCCTGAAGCAAATTCTTAATCTGAAGCAATATTTCTGGGTTAGCGGAGTCTGTAACCTGAAACATATGTAATCTGAAGCGTATGTAACCCGAGGTACCACTGTATTTCTATGAAGCCTTTCACCAGCCCACATGACTGGTAAAAGCCCCTTTCCTACATGCACCCACAAAAGCTAGAGGAAGTATCTTCTTCCCCATCTTTTTATGAAATAAATCTGTAAAACGAGTCTGTAAAATGTGTCAGCCTTTGAAGGCATTTACAGAGGTCTGCCTAAAGTATGATTAGTCTTCAGGGGTTGGAAAAGTATTTTCAAGATTCATGCAATTTGCTTAGCTATTCATGGAAATGTTCACGGAAACTTCTAACTCCAGCATGCACATTTTGACATGAAAATGTGACTCAGCACAATCTTTATAAATTGGGGAAGGTACATTCTGAAATATACAAAAAAGCATGAATGAGCACAAGAGACTTGCCTGCTCTACCACCTTTACATGTGATGGCTTTAACTGGATACAATGCTAAGTCATGATTTAGAATTAACAGCATGAACTTCAACAACCCTAAGACTTGCATGATCCCCCTTCAGCAAATGAGCAAAAAGGAGTTCAGGTGCTTCCACTAGCATTTTAGATTAAATACAGTTTAATTTGTCATCTGAACCCTAAAACTGTGGCTAATCTTAATGATAGTGAGTTGAAACTAGACAGCTTCAAACCATGATTTCTAGTTAAGATTAACCACAATTGTTGAGAGAACACAACAAGCTGTGGTTAATCTAAACTGTAAACGAAAGCTTCCAAACTCATGCTCACAGCCATACCAAAAGAGGAGGGTTGTGTGCAAGTCCAATACTTCTTTTTCGTAATGCTAAGGTAGAGATAGGCAATGTGGTACACTCCAGATGTTGTGGACTTCCAACTTCCATCAGCATTAGGCAACATAGCCTCTGATAAGACATTATGGGAGTTGTGATCCAGAACATCTGAATAGTACCATGCTGCCTATCCCATGCTAAGCCATGGTTCAGTGTTACATCAGAATGAAGCATGTAAGGAAGCACAAATATGTGTGAGTAAGGGAACACAGATTCAGAAGGGTAACGTATTTACAATTTTCATTGGTTGCAAATACATTCGGTTTCAAATAAATTATTTCTAGTAGCCGCAAGCAGAATGTATTATTGACCATTGTCTGTTTGTCAAACATTGTCAAATAGGAATAGTGTTGTAAGTGAGTTTATTATCTAACGGAAGATAATCTTTTGAAGTATTTTCACAGCTACAAAGAAAAAGGTTTTTCCAAATTGTAATTCTTAATTAGAACGACTGCATTCTTTTAAGGGTATCAACAAATACACTTGTAATGCCTAGCCAGCTGGACTTGTATTTTGGACACCATCCAAAATATCCCCAAGTGACCAAAAGAAAAATCTCTCTCAATTTCAGCCTTGGGGAATTTAACAAAGTTACAGAAGAGTATGGTTTTATCAGAACTACCCAATAATAGCTTGTGGGAATTTTTTTAAAGCCCCATGTTTTCTTTCAAAAAATGACTCATTTATTTCACATCCCTATGGGAAAAAAACAACATTAAGAAAAAAAGTAAATGAGCTACTGATAAAATGTTCCACATTCACTGAACTAAGAGAACAGGCAGGATGTCAACACTACAAGCACATATTTCCTAATCAGCAACCTGCTTTTGAATTTGTGAATATTATTGTAATGAGGTCTTAAGGAAGGAAACAGGTCTTTTAAATTAAAAAAATAGTCTATATTTTCATACATTTGCCTGAAGGGACTATGTTGAATAGGTCACTGAGTGCCTTTTCTGGGAAAGTGGGAGAGAAAAGGGAATGGGAACATGGTTTGAAGCTGGCTTGTTTTGAAACTAACCAGAGTTCGCACAAACCCTGGTTCAAACTATAGAAGCCAATATTTATGGAAAACAAAACCTTCCAAGCTCCTTCTCTCAACTGCACAAGCCCAGAAGGAGGTTAGGCTCTGTCATATAGTGGAAAACCTCAGATGCCCATGTCCTGTGAAGCCCACTAGTTGCCCTTGCACATCTGCAAGCAAATTTACTCTTCCACCACTGTCTTGCTACCAAATTTGCCCCACCGCTTTTTGCCACTTCTGTAATTACTCAAAAAATCAAACATTTACTTTCCTTGCCATCTTTCTTTCAGTTTCTGCAATGTACTGCAATGCTGAGCTCAGTATTGCTCTTGCTGCCCCAACTTTATTTCCAGTTTCTTCCTTCATACTTCTTTCGATCACAGATAACACTAAGCAGTTATTCTTTTAAAGTTGCTTAGTTTTATTGTAATTTTAACTTTTTATAAGCTACTCTGGAAATCTGTTGAAGGGAGGGCTGGAATCCAAAACAAATTTTATTGTTGTTAGTCACTTTGGGCATTCTATATGGCAAGACAGTAAATAAAGAAAGGGATGCCGTATGTTGAGGAACTCTACCAGCAAATTCCATTAACATACTTCTTTGCAGCTACTCAGAGTAAGACATATTTGTGGCATATACTTCAAGTTTTCAAAACATTTTGGCAGTAATAGTTTTAAGGCCAGTTTACACCACAAAAACAGGTGCTTTACAAGGCATTCTATGCACAGAATGTTGTACTGAAGAGGAGTATCTGTGAACATTATGGCACAGAAAAATCAATAAAAATTCACATCAGCCTACGGTGTCTTCAACAGATTGTAAAAAGAGAAGTCAGTGATGCAGCTAATCCCAAGACTCTACATCACCTTTTTTTTTAAGGTTGCAAGAAGAACGAGCTGTTAAAGAGTGGCCAGAGTTGGAGGAGTTCCTCTGGGAAGACTTTGTAATTTCGACTTTAAAAAAATAAAAACATCTGAGAGAGACTTTTATAGCTTTGGCCCGGATCCAAATGTTGTGTGGTGCTATATATCCTAACATTCCATTGGTTTCAATGGAACATCTGTGGAATGTTGGCACTGCTAAAATGTACAGTGAGCTGAAAACATAGACAAGATGAAATATAGTCTCATTTTATTCCATCTGCCGGCACTAAGGTGATATACACACAAAATAATAATAATAATAATAATAATAATAATAATAATAATAATAAATTTTATTTATATCCCGCCCTCCCCAGTCAAAGCCAGGCTCAGGGCGGCTAACAACACTAAAATAGTGCAACATTCTAAAAACATTATAAAAATTAATTAAAATCAAAATTGATGGCAACCATACTAAAGTTCTGTAAAGATTGCCAGAGGAGGGAGTCAGGCTGCGCCCTGATCAAAGGCCTGGTGGAACAACTCTGTCTTGCAGGCCCTGCGGAAAGATGTCAAGTCCTGCAGGGCCCTTGTCTCTTGTGACAGAGCGTTCCACCAGGTTGGAGCCGCAGCCGAAAAAGCCCTGGCTCTAGTTGAGGCCAGCCTAACCTCTCTGTGGCCTGGGACCTTCAAGATGTTTTTATTTGAAGACCGTAAATTCCTCTGTGGGGCATACCAGGAGAGGCGGTCCCGTAGGTACGAGGGTCCTAGGCCGTATAGGGCTTTGAAGGTTAAAACCAGCACCTTAAACCTGATCCTGTACTCCACCAGGAGCCAGTGCAGCTGGTATAGCACCGGGTGAATGTGATCTCGCAGCGAGGACCCTGTAAGGAGTCTCGCCGCGGCATTCTGCACCCGCTGGAGTTTCTGGGTCAGTCTCAAGGGCAGCCCCACGTCGAGCGAGTTACAATAATCCAGTCTGGAGGTGACCGTCGCGTGGATCACAGTGGCTAGGTCAGGGCGAGAGAGATAAGGAGCCAACTGC